CCAAACACAAGCCGAAGTAGCAGAAGCTACTGGAGCTGCACAAAATGTGATTTCCAGAATCTGGAACCGTTTCTTGGAGATTGGAAGGGCTGGCCGAAGACTAGGGCAAGGTCGAAGACGTGCAACAAAGAATGAAGATAGATAGATATTTAACACTAATGAAGATAGATATTTAACACTAACGGCTCGGAAACACCGAAATATGAATGCCATTCTTCTTCAGCAACACCTTCGCTTGGCTACTGGCACCTCAATGTGTAGCTCAGTGGTAGAGCGTTCGCTTTGCATGTGAAAGGCCCTGGGTTCGATCCCCAGCACCTCCAAAGGCCTTGTTTTTTTCGAGAACTTTTTAAATCTTTATTTGCATTTTTCACTGACATGCCTGGCCCCCGAAGGAATGAATGGGAAATGTATAGAGCGGACGAAAGCCGGCGTCTCTCTCATCACGTCGGATGAAAGCCGGTTGAGTTATTTTAAAAATCCATTTAAAAATATTATAAAATTTTAGATAGAGAAAAAGAATTTTTTCATATTTTAAATGAGTTTGTTCAGTAATATTCGGATTTTTTACATGCATGTACTCTTTTTTGTAATGCTTCGAATGATTTTTGGGCTTCGTTTTTAAAAGTCAATTTCAATTCACATTTAGAAACTTATCTATTATTTATTATCTTTTATTTATTAGCAGAAATTTTCACTATTTATAAGGCTTTGGAAAGTGTCTGCTGTCTACCCAATGAATATTTTTCTTTGTTAAATTTATGATTGCATTTGAATCTTCGAAGTATCAAAATTTTTCGTATCATCCATTAATTTTTATAAAATTTAGGAATTAATGACAGACAATATCCAATTGATTTTTTGGTTTATATATTCTCATTTGAGTATGAAGGGCTATGAGACTGTAGACAAATCTGCTAAATCTGTTTTGAGGAAATCTTACCAATATTTCCTTGTGATATTAAAAATATATTTAATTACAAGCTTTCATGGTCCACTGGCAGGTATCAATGGCATTATTACATAAGGCCCATCTTCACTCATTGGAATAAAATTTCTTGCACGAGAAAGAGTTAATTTTAACTCTCCTACGTATTGGGCACACAAGGCTGATACACAGAATTTTTTCTGTTTGAGTCTCCCCCAATATTTGGTCATTGTGTGTGTCCTCTGTCTATTATGCTTATTTTAACCGAGTGCTCTACTTTTTACCTTCAAACATTCGTTTCAACATTTTAAACCTTATAAACTCCCTTTAATTGATCTGATTGGCAAAAATCCCCTACGAAATATTTTTAATTTCTTGCATGTTGACATTGTTTTTACTCCATTCATATAATTTTATTCATAAAAATTGTATTCTTTACTTTGAAATTGAATTTTAAAAATATTATTAAGTTTAAATCTTTTCCTTGAGTTTTGCACAATAATTTAGTCCCATGAGGAATCGGTGCCAATGTTTTCATACAACCAACCAGCCTTTTATTTAAAAAGTTATCTAGCCTGGAATAAGAGAAAACCTTATGTCCTCTCTAAATGTTCAAAATTCAAATTGCGATCCGGAAAAAATCATCGCTTCCTCTAAAAAGAACGAAAAAATGGTAAAAGAATGGTTTTTGAAAAAAATATATCACCAAAAATAAGATTGAAAACATTTTGGAGAGAAAATGCATACATCTTCTTCCACACATTTGCGAAGAATACTAAAGATTTTGAGAGGTAGGATCAGTGGCGTAGATTTGTGTTACGAACGAACAAAGTTTAAAATTTATACATAAGGATTTAAATGAAATTACGTATTTCGTGGATTTTTTCCTGAAGATACAACTTTTCTTCAGAATTATAGTAGAAGCAGATATCCAGATGATAAATTGCCACAATAATAAAACACAAAGGACTGCTTTATTATTAAGAGATTTCGTCAAATTGTTCATACGCATATGCCATACTAATCCGAACTTTAAGTACAATAATATTTTGAAGTACCATCCAAAATTAGTAGTCGAATTGGGTATTGTCTCTTTTAGCGACAAGAATTATCCACCATAGCAAACTCATTACTTGTGAGTGACATTTGTGAAGTATTATTAAGCCATTCGTGGAAGCAAATATTTAATTGCAACACAAGATTTGCACCCCTCAAAGTTTATCGGAGTTTCTTTAATGCCCCTCTCGATTGTTTTCCAGTAGTAGCAGCAAACATGAGAATTTATGGCTATGTATTTAGAACTGAGTTTCGTAGATAAAGAGAAATATAACTAGCTTTTTTTTCTTTCGTCAGTTAAATAGTAAATAGAGGTCATTTGATGATATTTTCATTATTAATCTCTTTATCATTTCAAATAGATGATTTTCTTAAAATAGACGAATTATTTTGTCTGAATTTTTAACTTTATTTCTTAACTCTTATTTTTAGGAATTAGATTTATTATTGAAAATGTTTCAAAAAAAACATTTTTATTTGTTAAAGTAATTTGCATATTATTGATACCCCCCCCCCTCGCGAAAATAGTATGTACATAGCATTAAGGCTTTTGTCTATCGTCCATTTGGATTTCCCAAACATAATGTTGATCATGTCACTACTATTTTATCAATTTGAATGCAAAAAAGGTCTCCGGAAGAGCAAAAAATAATGAA